GCTCTTTCCAACTGCACAATTCCGAGCTAGACAGCTTTTGCCGATTAAAAGTTATTCAAAAAATGGTCACAGCCATTTAACTCTGAAATGGACAATAGTTTTTAGGCGATTAGCAACAATGAGTATATCGTGTTTCACATTTTAATCTCGCAGAGATTGCACTAACAGCTTTTTCAATTAAAAGTCAATTAGGGTATGAGGTGAGAGTTTTGGTATGGGTGTGATCGTGGGTTCCCCAGGGTATTATATCCATCCATACTCTCGCGCAGTCATTCGCCGATCAACCCACATTCACCCACACGCATCATTTCTAAATGTCTCAGACTAACACAGAACAGTCCCATATATTGGATGGGATGAGGATGTGGGTGCTCGTATAAAAAGAAAGAATGCTTTCACCCACATTCCACACCTACAGAGGGTGTGGGTGTGGGTGTGGGTATACTATTCATTTACACCCACACCCCATAGTCACAGCCACAGCCACACCCCACACCCACCCACTCCCACTCCCACACCCACATCCACACCCACACACCCCACCCACACCCCACCCACACACGACATCCAGACCACACACCCATCCACACCTACACCCTACACCCACATCAAAATGCATAAAACTATTTTGTCCTGTTGTTAAATGAAACTATGTCATAGAAATTATTGCCACAAAAAAGTACTCTTGGCTGTACATGTGTAAAAGTCATTTTTGCTTAGTTTTCGTGAAATTTAAAATCTTTTGAATGTGATTTATTAATCATGAGAGGTTGCGGCTTTGATCAATTATGATCAATGGTGACATCAGTGTAAGTTTTTCGCTAGTTAAGCTGTATCGAGTGTAAAAAACAACACAAAAAATCAATGCTGGATTCCTCAGTTGGTTCTATTGGCAATCACTATTTCGTCAGGTATTTTTTTCTGTTCGTATCAAATGTACACAATGTTGAACAACTCCATTCAGCTCAACTTATGGACTTAGTTGAATTGGATCGAATTCGAGTCTTTTCCAAACACGTACGAAGTGTTTTGGACTGAATTGGAAAATTTTACAAACATCTACCAATCGAATCAATTTAAATCGTAAAGCTTTTTCGAGATCTGCAGATTGAGTTCATTTAAACTTAACCCAAAGATATTTCCGAAACTTTCCTTCTTAAATAAGATCATTTTATGCAACATTATTAATTGAAAACCAAGTGACGACTGTGATCAATGTTTTAATTTTTCCTCAGACATTTTATCTTGAAATAGCTGCATAATGTTCGTATTTTCATTCACATTCCTTCTGCGGACACACCAACCCAACCATATCTTGCTTTTTCTAAAAATAACTTAATCCATTATTGCTCATCAATGATTTAAACGTAACCGTGTGTGTTCTATTCTTTGTCAGGTCATACATAGAATACTCATTTATGCTTATTTAATAAGGCGACATCTTGCGTATCGGGGTGTGGAACCTGGGTGTAGCGTGGGTTTCGGTGTGGATCATGCTCTCTTCGTTCAGAGAATTCTCACATACCAATTCCACGCCCATACTCTCCTCCGTGTTCCACAGAATATTGTTGAATTGATTACAAGTGAAGAGTGTTATTAAAGGAACTGATTTTTTTCTTAGTCAGAGACTCAATGTAGTGCTACTAATGACCAAAGTTTCAGCTTTGCACGATGTACTTATCCGACAATAATTGAAATGATTTCTAAAAAAATATCCATGCATCAGGTTTGGCTTGGCCGATAAAGATTGAATAGTATTGGATAATTTTCTTATGAAACAATCAAAATTCTTTTTATTAAAAACGAGGATAAGCAATCGAGGAGTTGAAGTGTTTTAACGAGACATGTATTATCTTAGTTTATCAAGGAAAAAGCGGCTGATTAATAGTTGTTGTGATCACTTATTTGATTACACGGGATAGCAAAGAGCCAAGCAGACTAATTGGCTGCTGAATACCTGAACAGCATGGCACAGCATGTAGAATACCTGGGTTTTCATGACACGGACAATTGCAGATATTTTTCCTCGTTGAATATTGTTCTTTTTCTGGTTTTTCCGTTTTTTGCCGCTCTTTCTCTCTACTCTAAAATTACAAAACAACTTAATGAAAACAATTCTGCTTGCACCAATAAACGTACTTCTCGCTCTTCCTGTTGTTCTTGTTCCCGTTTTTCCGCTTTTCGTCGCTCTTTTTTTTCTTGTTTTTTTGCTTTTCGTCGCTCTTCTTTTTCTCGGTCCTAAAATCACAGAACAGCTTAACGACAACAATTTTGCTTACAGCAATCAGCGTACTTCTCGTTCTTTCTGTTGTTCTTGTTCCCGTTTTTCTGCTTCTTGCCGCGCTATTTCTCGACCCTAAAATCACACAACCGCTTAACAAAACAATTTTGCTTGTAGCAATACAGAAGTAACCCTTAATCTTTACTTCGAATTATAATAAAAGATAAAGATGAATGATTTATTTAAATTTATTTCTAAAACATAAATGAATCCTGTATTTTCAAAAAATAAAGATAAATTAAAGAAATAAAGATTTTTTTTCTAGCAATAGTGCAACTGAAAGTGGCCTAGGACCGCATGGCTTATATTCAAAAACACTTTTATCATTAAAAAAATATATATTCATTAAAAATAAGTTGCTTAAGAAATGGCATGTAGTTATGCCGTTGCCTTGATATTTAGCAGATTTCAATTACAAAAATGATCACTGAATCAAGACGAATATCATATCTCAAATTAGCATACAAATAGAAGTCCACTGCTGTGTATTTCAGAAGTTTTTGAAACATTTTCTTTTGATCAAAAAATTCGTCCCCTAGTTTCTCTTCCAGGATTTTTGGACCAAAAATTGAACTTCATCAGAAAGTGATTCAGATAGTGACGAACAACCTTAACAAGTGCAAAATGATATTGCAACACGCAGTGGAGGATGTTGAAACGACGAAATCGGCGTTTTTCATGAAACACATTTTTCAGTCTAAAAAGCTTGAGGAGTACGGAAAAAGTTTTCGATCAAAAAGAATTGCTTCAAAAATATTTGAAACATCCATCATTCAGCTCCGTTTTTTATGCTAATTCAGAATATGTTACTACCTTTGACAGAAGCATCGTTTTTCTAACTGAAATCAGCTAAATATTAAGAAAAAAGCACAAATTCATTTTGTTTCTTAACTAACTTGTTTTCAGTCAAACTACACTTATTTGACTAGTAAAAGTTTTCTGAAGATATGGTCTGTGTCTTGCAACGTTATCAGTCACATTAGCGCTTAGAAAAAGAACCCTTTATTTTTTTTATTGTATCTTTATTTTCTAAAGATAAATGAGTCATTTATCTTTATTTAATAAAGTAAGACTAAATAGTCACCCCTACAGCAATAAACTTACTTTTGAAATTAGTGACTCTTCGTATGCTTTCTTTTTTTCGCGATCTTCTTCTTCTTGTCTTGCTTGTTCTCTTTTACGTTGCTGCTCGATCTTTTGGTACATGTCGTTCGTATAGTATTTACCACGATTGCTTTGCACCATTTGATCAATCATTTGAAGCAACTGGTCGGTTTTTATTTTTAACGGTTGACCATTTAACTTATTGTTGATGGCAAGTTTACGATTTCCACAACAGTGAACTAGCTCTTTCAACTGGTCTGATGAATTTATGAAATCATCAATAGTTTGACCCTCTTCCAATTGATCTTCGCGAGTAAAGATGATGATACAATATTTGGCAGCACCATCACCGAAAATTTTTTTTATAAAATCAATAGTATTTTTTTCTTCAGGTGTAAAACGATCGACGCGAACAATGATTAAAAAGGCATGTACACCTGGCGATGTCATATCGAAGATTTGCGAAGCGATTTTATTCTGTACCATTTCGTTCGTTACTGTCGTGTCTGTATCAAAAAAGCCTGGTGTATCGACAACAGCCAATCTTTTCTGTTGTCCACTGACATCTATATAATTAGACGTTTTCGCTTCACATTGCTTCGTTATCGATTCGGCTGATTGTGTAGAGACAAAAGCGCTTCGAGAATGTAAGAATGAGTTGCCAGTTGAACTTTTTCCTTAAAAAGAAAGCATGTCTACACTCGAAACGAAAAAGGTGTCCGACTGAACGTAAAAAAGGTTTTTCCTATTTGTGCGAAGGAAAAATCTTTTCAGATTTCGTATCGCATCCTAGAAAGTTTCCGTAGGAAAAATGTAAAACTTTTTAAAGATCCGAAGAACGAAGAAAACTTTCATACTGTCTGTACGGAGCTTTTATGGGTCCGGTACGAAATCTAAAATGGTTCTTCCCGTGGGCACACAAGAAGAAATTTCTTTATAGTGTTGATAGTGAAGATAAGTTTGATATATTCGACACTGACCATTTCCTGTCTTTCCCATAAGAACGATGCGCAGTTCGTGTTGTGAAGAGGCCTGAACAAAATCAAAATCATATTCGTTTTGAAGCGTAAGAAAAGTTTCTGCTCACCATGTCTTTTTGCGTTTGAAATTTATTTGATATTGTTGATCAAATTTACTGAAAAGGAATGCAATACGTTCATCTTGCGTATATTTATATGGTCTTTGAGATAAAGAAATGGCATATTTAGTTTCTCAACCTTGCATAATCTTATAGGAGGAATAAACCTAACAGAGTGGTATTATTGCATACGTAATTCCTAATCAATAGTACTTAAACAGCTATGCTTTATTAATATTTATGCTCGCATATTCTTCAATTCTAGAAAAATTTTTTTATATCTGTTGATAGAAAATATATACAACGCAAAGCAAATTAGTCCCATAAACTGACCCATGTAGCCGATAATGGATAAATAATGGGAAAACGACCCATTATTTTCCATTATTTTCTGAAACTCATCAAATAATTAATTTTAATGCATTAATTTTCCTATTTTCAATACATTATATTGACATTATGTACTAATGACAAATAATACATCGAAAAACAATGAATTACGATGCACTATTTCAAATCATGATGAAATTCTAAAAAATTGGATAAAATTTCAGTGCGTTTCAATGTATTTTTCAGAAATAATGCTATAATGAATAATAATGTACTGAAAATTAATGCATTATAATCCATTACTATTACCTTGGAGCATAAGTTCTGCACGTTTTTCTGGTGTTTTCGGCAAATTTGAGACCTTGTATCTCGTGATTGTAAAGTGATGGAGGTCTAAAATTCTTAGTGCAGATAGAAGTCATAAAGATCTATCTACACTAAAAGTTTCACTCATCTTTCACTTTTTAATCATGAGATACAAGCTCTCAAAGTTGCTTAATACACACAAAATAACGCGTAGAACTTATGTTCCAAAATAATAAAAATAATGTCTGTATGGTCGGTAGTTCATTAAATTTCAATGGATTATAATTCATTATTTGGAATAGTGTTTTAATCTTCAATAATTTATTATTACCATAAACTGGATATCGAAAGTAGTGTTTCACAAATTTAAAATAAGTTATGACAAAGTTTTGTGCATATCACAATTGTTCCAAGAACATTAGTCCAATGAGAAAACCGATCAATAATACAAACTCTCTTGTTACATCAATAAAAAACGCACTACTACAGATTGGTTACTGACTACACCAATCACTCAGGATCGTAAACGACTCTATGTCTATAAAATACGACGAAAGACGACAATTGTTATGGTGATCAATGAGCTCAGATAAGCACAATCGTAAATGAGCGTTTTTTAATGGTTATTGCGCTGTTCTGTAGACGGAGTATTACTACCGCATCTCACTGTGTTGCAAAAGATCGGATGCTCGGTTATACGACCGCTTGAGACTTGTTTTCAAC